GACATGAAATGTGTTCTTCGTCTGAATTCTCTTCCTGTGCCGCTGCTGTCAGACAAGAAGAATTTCCATGTCACTGCTGCTTGTTACTGAGCTGCTATAAAAAAGGATGCTTGACGATAACTTATGAGTAAGTGATTAGAGATTTCTGGTAACCTTCAGATTGTTGCCAAATTACATTAACTGTGAGTAATCTGGGGGGAAAAGCAGTCTCATTCACCTATGCCCTCAAAGGTTATAGATTTACAATTTCAGACAGCCGTTAATGACGTTCCCTTTTGAGGTGCATTTTTTTCCCTTAAACCTCAGGAAATATGGTCTGCTTTTCTCTCCATATGATTAAAACTAATAATTCCTTGCTCATAAGTTCATATTTTATCCCTTGAAACTTGTTTTGAAAACTGCTTCATCCTTTTCTGTGTTTGATTTTTCTGTTTACCCAAACTATATTAAATGTGGCATGTGCATTGTAAGTTCTAGGATTGAATTGACTGTGGAATTTCTAATGAGTCGTAATACCAGAAAGTAGGAAAGAAACAAGGGGGTGAGTTTTATGTCAGGAAGTCTCTTCCATACACTTGCCTGGGAGTTGATTATTTTTTTTTGTTTTAAAGAAGTTTTCTGGGGCGCCTGGGTGGCGCAGTCGGTTAAGCGTCCGACTTCAGCCAGGTCACGATCTCGCGGTCCGGGAGTTCGAGCCCCGCGTCAGGCTCTGGGCTGATGGCTCAGAGCCTGGAGCCTGTTTCCGATTCTGTGTCTCCCTCTCTCTCTGCCCCTCCCCCGTTCATGCTCTGTCTCTCTCTGTCCCAAAAATAAATAAACGTTGAAAAAAAAAATTTTTTTTAAAAAAAAGAAGTTTTCTTCCGGGGTACCTGGGTGGCTCAGTCGGTTAAGAGTCCGACTTCAGCTCAGGTCATGATCACACGGTTCGTGGGTTTGAGCCCCGCGTCAGGCTCTGTGCTGACAGCTCAGAGCCTGGAGCCTGCTTCAGATTCTGTGTCTCCCTCTCTCTCTGTTCCTTCCCTGCTCTCACTCTGTCTCTCTCTCTCTCAAAAATAAATAAACAGTAAAAAAAAATTTTTTTTAATTAAAAAAAAAGTTTTCTTCCAACATTTTCTTTAACTCTTTATAGAAACATTTAAGTTTTTTGTTTGTTACATATTTACACATTTATTTAAGTTTTCCACCCTGATCAAGAGTGCTGGGAGTCTGCATCTTCTGAAACTAAGAAAAATCAAGACAGTTAAACAGCTCAGTCTTGAAAGCCCTTCCTGCTTGAAGAAAAACGAAATCGCAGTTTACGTAGTCTTTTCTGAGATTAAATTTTGAAGGTAAAGTTTTATGGATTTCTGTCTTTTAACTATAGACATACAAAGCCAAAATCCCAAAATTGTTGCTTAGAAAATACTTAGTGGGTGGTGAGGGCTCTCCAGAGCCTGTTCTGGTTGGTCTCTATAAGTAGAAATTGCTAAAGCATAGGGGCGCCTGGGGGCTCAGTAGGTTAAGCTTCCAACTTGGGCTCAGGTCAGGATCTCACTGTTCCTGGGTTCCAGCCCCGAATCAGGCTCTGTGCTAACAGCTTGGAGCCTGGAACCTGCTTCAGATTCTGTATCTCCCTTTCTCCCTACCCTTCCCCAGCTCATGCTCTGTCTGTCTGTCTGTCTGTCTGTCTGTCTCTCTCTCTCTCAAAAATAAACATTAAAAAAAATTAAATATATAAAAGAAATCACCTAGGCATCAGCCTGCAGTACTGATGCACACAGGAATGCGGTACTCACTATTAGAGACAGGTACACTTGGCGAATTTCCAAAAATGCCATTGCACTTTTAGCCAGTTACTTTTTTGTTTTCTCTTTGAATTTGCACCTGGGGGCCCCCTGCTGGATTTATGGTAATGCCTTCTCTCTTCCAAGGAGCAGACCAGGAGCCAGAGCCACATGTCCATGGGCGGGGTTAGTGCAGGGAAGGGCTCCGTGCTCACCCCAGTGAATCTGTGTCCGGCTCCACCTGCCCAGCTCCTCCGTGTCTTGAAAGTGGAGGACTGGAGGGAGGACCGAGCAGAGGGGCGGAGGACTGGAGGGATGGCTGAGCAGAGGGGCTGAGGACTTGAGGGAGGACTAAACAGCGGTGGGGAGGATGGGAGGGGATGAGCAGAGGGACAGAAGACTGGAGGGAGGGATGAGCAGA